CTCTTACTTCCATTTCTCTCCTTCCTCACACATTTTTTGCCCTATTTTCTTTGTTGTTTGCTTATTTTATGCTATACTGCACACAGCCAACTAAAACACTATCTTGTAAAGGAAAAATAGAAAATCCTATAGCCCCAGCTCTAAATTCTGATACAAGCTATTATGTTTGTCTTTGGGAAAATCCAGTAACTAATTTTTTTCCAGGAACCTCTTCTGTTGAAGGAAGAGGGGGAGAGAAGGATGAGAGTTACCCAGTTCTGTATCTCATGAAAATATTGGCAACCTGAAAAAAATCTGATTTCCCTATTCATTTCAGAAGACAAAAGCACATTCGATGATTGTAGAAATCACTGCTAAAGCAATCACAGCTGAACAGGAAGCTTTGTTTTAACCTGTAGTTTTAAAATGCTCTATACCTTGTTTGTGAACGTCATAGATTGTGTAGAAAAAACACTTGTCTTAGAAATATTTCCTGTAGAATTCAAAGGTTTCTCTGTTGCTCAGTCAAACAGGTATGTCCAGGAATTGAATTAAGTCACACTTTGGATCAACAGCACTAGCAGATATTCAATTGAACATCCTTGAAAACATTCAAATAAAATTTCTGCATGCTCAGATCTGAGGAGTTTGAACAGTGAATTAGGTGAAGTAGTAAAGATGTTGGTGGAGAGCTGCATTTGAGGCTTTAGGCAGCTTTGAAGTGGAAAATTGGTAGATAAAAGATATGCAGCTTGTAAGAATTGGTGGGTTTGCATGCTTCTTTGGCGAGCCATTTATGTATCTCTTCAGGTAGAGATGTTTGTTGTGATGCTTGGTTTCTTTTGTTTGCTTTTGAGTTGTGGTTTCTTTTAATTTAGCTTTTTGCTTTTGTTACCTGTTTTCTTTTTCTTGCCAGCACGTAGATTCATGCTTTCCTTGCTATTCTTGCTGATAGTGACTGCTTAAAGCATTCACAAACGCAGTTTGCATGCTATTTTTTGTTTGAGGCATGTCTCATTGTGTTAATGTGCGTGGTGATAGATTTGGTTATCCTCTCTACTTGTTTAACTTTTCAGACTCTTTCTGAACTTCGGGAGGTAGTATTTATTTTTCAAATTGTCACTTGAAGTGACAGCTCTGTATGTGTGTATGTAGATGTATGTGTGATCTGTACACTCCAATCAGAATTAAATATCTGATTTGCAGTTTAGAAGTAATGTTTTCCTTTAGAAGGTGACCGGTTTGCAAGACGCCTTTGTGCTGCAGCACCATAGATCCTTATACAACTCCTTTCATTCCAATGCTTTTTATGCCAGGACGTGTTGAGAGCTCAAGAATTTTTGCACTAGAACAAGGCCTGTGCTTGGAAGCTCTGATTGCTGAGCTGAGTACCTCTAGCACTGTGGCCTTTCTGAAAGTTTCACATGCAGGTGTAGCTGATTAAGCAAGCTGTGTCAGTTTTTGTCTGAGGTCAAGTTAAACCAAGTTCTGTGGAAGCCCTGTGGCTAAGATTCAAAGCTCTATTTCTTCTTTCCCCCACTGACCCTTTTTCCACACCTCCTCATTGTTCCGTGTTTTTGTTTTCCCTGAAAACACTAAGCTCTGGTATTACCAGCCTATAAACGCGGTATCACGCTGTTAAAATGCGGAGGTTTTCTTCTAAATGAACTATTGTCTTGGAAACCTTTGCTTGTTACTCGGTGTGGGAATTGAGTTTTAACAGTTTCACAACAGACCTAGTAAGACTTCTCTGATACTCATTTAACAGCTGTAATTCATGTTATAGCATACATCATCCAGACAGTGCAGCCCACATGTACCCAGCTGTAGTGTGTTCTTTTACCCTGGAATGTGAAGGTGACAAAGTAATCTTCAAAGCAGCCTAGATGGAATTCAGAAAAATGTCTGCAGTATTCTCACTTGGGTTTTATTAGAGCTTAGTGGTAATTAAGAAACCTTAAGTGTGTGAAATTAAAAACTAAAAACCTCACACAAACCTCAGCTTTATCGTATAACCAAGTATATTTCAAAGGATCTTGTATTACCCTGCGTGCATTTCTTAAGGAGTAAAAGCTGGAAGAAAGGAAATCAGTTCATGCTTTCAATGTCTTTGTACAAATGAAGGAAGCCTTACAGCTACTAGAAGAACTTGTCTTGTTTTTTATATATAGCTTGAATAGCTATATATTTTTTTTTCCCAAGCATGGGAAAAAATAAATATTTTTTTTCTGAAATGTTTATTGCACAGGACAAAAATTAAATAATTTACAGATGTTAAGGAGCTATTTTGTTGTTAGCCCATAAGTACCGTGGATCAACAGGAGGTTATAAGTGGATTAGCAGCATATAAAGGCTAGTTCTGTATGATTTAGATGACAAGTTTTTGGCATGTACTTCGAGTATTGTTTCTTAATTCAGATATAATGCTATTTTACCATTCAAGATTAGTAAGATTAAAAGCACTGTAATTATACTTCCAGTATGAGCTATATTTATTATGGACGATATTCACTTTTATTTAGAAGACAAGACTTTATCTTTTCCTGACACTGTGTTTGAGGGTGCACATGGAGTGAAATGGTACAAGTGTCTTTTGCCAAACTGAATCAAGTTCAGAAAGAGAATTCCCGTTCGGAAAGAACAATTTTGAGGAGGTTGGTGCAGCAGACAGTATATTGCAAAGCTGCTAAATCATTTGTTTACAGTATCCATTCAACTCATTCCTCTGTCTCCTCATCTGCTCAGTGCTGCTGGGGAGTGCAAAAAGTGCAAGTCACAAATCCATGCTCCAGATTTTAGTCTGATTTGTGAATAGTGGAGCCCTGCAGCAAGGAGAGAACAAACCTTGTAATTCCAAGAGCCATTTTTTGGAGCTTAATGCTAAAGCTCTGCTCCACCATGTAACCTGCTGCAGTGTGCTGTGTTTGGTGTTCTCCATCACAGACTGTAGCATGCCAGGTGTTTATACAATCCTGAAGAATGATTTAACATGTGGAATCTCCCCTCTGGGGAGGGACAAGCAGTTGGGGAGAGGTCTCAGCATATCTTCCTTTGCCAGGTTATTGCAAGGTAGACAGTTGAGTACCTTCAGTGTAAGAGCACAGGAATGTGTATCTTTGTATGATCATAGTTGAGCAGAGGATAAGTAGGGGAAAATAAGAGTGGAAGATTTTTCTACTGAAAACCTGGTTAGGCTGTGTTTATTATATGCAAAGTGAGGTTTCTGAAGTTATGCATTTCTATAGGAGAAGGTAGGTTTCCATATGACCTTTGGCTTCATATGAAGGCTTTGAAAATCAAGAAAGGCTAGTTTAATTGCTTGGCAAAGCCAGGCTGGTTTTGTTACATACTTTTTATATAGTTATCTTGTCATGACACAGTGTCATATTCTTCTCTGCTGTCTTCCTGTGATGTCCTAGCTGGCACAAACTGTAAGTTTTCATTTAGTTTATATAGCAGCTGATCTGTGATTGTAGTTTATTATGCTGTTAAAATAAATAGTACTGACCTTGGCTAGTGGCTTTCCTCTATGTATCTCCATCAAGAAGCAGTCGTCAGAGATTGAACTCATAGTAGTGGCTGTAAAAATGAGCATAACTCACTTCTAACCACAGCCCTCATGTCAAGGATAGAGACACTGGGGTTCACAGAAGCAAATACGTGCACATAGACACACAAAAGGAATTGTAATTATAAATAGCTAGCAAGAGGGAAGTGCTGGCTGTATGATCTTTGCTGGTAGAGCAAGAGTCTACAGTCCTTGTCTTAGGAAGAAGCACGGGTAAAATTATTTTACTGACAGCCATTTTAAATAATGTGTTACATAACATTCAAGCAAGAGTAGCAATTTCTTTTCTTCTCCTTACAACAGAGCTTTTCTTAATAAATAGATATGGAGTAGGATTTGTTTGATTATGCTGACTTTAAAAGTTTGTTTATTTTTTTGGGAAATACTGAACATAATTTTAGATTGATAAACTTAATGACAAACATGTAACGTTTTATGCTAATAATGGGAAAGTAATGTATTACAAAAATAAGTTATATGCAAGTTCATATGGTAAAAGACTTTGGCTGAGAAAATGAAGGGCGTTGACTATTAAGGGGAGAGACTGCAAGTGGAAAATCAGATGTAAATAGTTCTATGAGCAGCATCAAGCAATGAAACACTTCTTTATTTTATCTGCAGTTGCAACAGGGATTGTTCTGGGTCCCCACATAAATGATGTTTACCAGAGCTCCAGTCTGGGAGAGCGTTCCATTCATATTCTAGTTCTGTAAATAATGTCTTTGTGATCAGCACGGCTTTGTCCATTGACCACTCAATTGGAATCATCATGAGGTAGCCACTATCAGTATTAGCCACTTCAATTGCTCTGTAACTGATAGAAAACTGAACTGCATTGAGGCTTGTGGTTATTCTGCAACTTTTTAATATTGAGGATGAAATTTCTAGGCAGGGGCTAAGGGGGGGCAAGATCTTGACTGTGCAGATGTTAATGAGGGGCTCTACCCCAAAAAAAAGGGAAAGTTCAAAAATATCTGGTAGGAAACTTGGGTGGGGAGCTGATAGTGTAACTTACCAGAGGTGAACACTGAAAGATGAATGAATGGAATACAATAGATTTGGGGGAGGGATGTTGGGAAGGATGTTTAAAGTGGAGAAAGTAGTTTACTTAGTGTGGCAGGAACAGTATGAGGAGGGTTATATACAGAGTAGGCACTGTAACCTAAATGTCATCCAGGAAATAAATTACTTGCCGAATTTCCTGAGTGAGCTAAACCTTGGCAAGATTGCATCTACTGTAGAAAGAAATCCTCAAGTAGGTGGTTGAGATAAGAGCTTAAACAAAAACTTGGTTCCATGTCAGTGTCCAGAAAAACCTTTGTGCTGTTTAGCAGGATGGTGACCCACAGAGAGGCCCGGGTAACTGTTTTAGCTGTTTTTGCTTGCATGACCAACAGAACAAGGAAGACTTCAATACAAAGGTGAATTTATGTTATTACTGTTCTTGTTTTAGGTAAAGAAGATGAATTTCCAAAGAAGCCATTGGGGCAGATTCCATCAGGACCACAGCCTGCTATGGTTAACTCTACTCCAATGCTTAATGGACAGAACAGCACTGGTACACAAACAACAAGGACAGAGAGGAAACCATCCCCAGGAGAAGAACCAGAAAGTTCACCAAATAACCGGAAAAGAATTAATTCACTGGAAAATAAACCTTCCTTAAAGCAGCAGAAAACTCGACCAATAGAGACCCAAAGTAGCATGCCTAAGAATGAGGTAGACACCAGAAGAAAGCCTCAGCCAGTAGAGCAAGACAACTCGAGACAGTATAATAATGCAGCTGCTAATCAAAATTCGAATGCTACTTCAAATACAAGAAGGGAATTTGTACCTAAGTGGAATAAACCATCTGATATCAAAATAATTGAAAAAACAATGAAGGGAAGGCCAATAAACCATTCAGTTTCAGGCCCACCACCAAGCCCTGGAGAAACTCAGCCTTTGAATGTAAAGCAAAAGATGAGGGTTTTGGATGTTGATGAAGGTAAGCGAGGGTCTAATGCTTCTCAGTATGACAATGTTCTGGAAGTTGAGAATGAGAATCTTGTTGAAGAGATGCTTGAGAGAGTCCTTCCACAGAGCCCTAGGCATGTAGCGTATCCTAATAGTCCAAGAAAGCAAACTGAAAAAATACCAGCTCCATTAAAAATACCCAACAATTACACCTTCACTTCACAACCCAGATCTCCAAAATATTCATCACAATCTGATGGATCCCCTCATGGACTGAATGTAAAACAGCCACTGCCATACTACGGTAATCCACCCACTTACCATGGAAATTCTCCAAAGCATGTTTCCAGTGTAGGCAATACAAGTTCTGCACCTCTGCATTACCATGGGAATCGAACCAGCCCTTCTGGTAGGCCTCATGGTTCTTTTATTTCAGTAGATTATTCTCCAGATAAACTGCAAATGAATTCCTATCCTGTTAGTCGCCAAAATCCTCTTTCACCAAACCCTGGTCAGATAGAAGTAGCCCCTGTTGATGCTTATACCAGCAATTCAAGGTCCCCCACAGGTGTCAAATTCATAATCCCTCCTGTGGATTATTTACCAGAAGAAAGAAAGTGGCCAGATGCAGCGTATATTTACAGACACGAACCCTACAGGCAGCCCTGGAGCCAAGATGTTAACAAAGGCCACTTGGATAATTTCCAGAAATACCAGCATTTTCAGTCAATGCCTTTTCAAGACCATAGTCTTTCTGCTGTTTCTGTGGATAGTCCAGTAAGATACAGGACTTCACCAACCTTTGAGGAACATGGTTCACCACAGTACCAATATTCCAGCCCAACAGCTCAAGCCCAGCACTATCGAAACAGAACCGATGGACTGTCTATGCATGAATCTGTGCTTCTCTGAGAGTCTTGCCCATTCTTAGTAAAATGGCAAGAACCAAAAGCAGTTCAACATTGCTGTGTTAGTACTAGTCCACCTCAGTTCTTCTGTGAAATGCAGACAGCTTGTGTGACTCTCAACAACAACACTATTTCAGAGATGTTTCCGACTTTCATTGAAGGCTAGTTGGGTTCTTAAGACTTGCATTGAAGCTATTGAAAGTGATCTGATGCACATAGACATAGCAATAAGATCATATACCCAATATGGTTAGTACTGTCATTGTTCGTTACATTTAAATAACTTGTGTTACTGTCCTTCTGCCTAAAACCTGTAACACATTTACAAGTTTTACTTTGACTGACATTGTTAATGCACTGTATAAATGTGTGTGCGCGCGCGTGTGAGTGTGCACTTAAAATACACAAACCCATGTAGAGAAGAGCTAAAGAGTTTAAATGTAAATGCATTTAACTGTGGGCAAAGCTTGTGAAGAACTTTTATTTCATATTAGTTTTTCTTTGTAATTTATTTGAGAAGCCATTCATTTTGAATGGGAGTTTCTGTTGGTTTTATATAGCTGCCTCAGCATCCCAGTATCTGTTCTGGGCAGGAGAGATGCTTTGGGATTATTAATTTAATCTTCTGTAGGAGTTAATTTCCTCTCCTTTGACTACTGTTTGTCATTTTCCTCAGTAAAAAGGAGCAGGCAGGCAAAAGCAGTAAGCCAAAAATGTCTCTCTAATCTGGCTTAGAAATGGTGCTTAAAATTCAGGGCAGTGTTTAGGTGCATCAAAAGTGGAGAATTTTTATCTTCTCACCCAAATCTACCTTGAGAATGTCGTCCTATATGCAAAATACTGGAGCACAGTGAGAGTAATGCCAGATACAGACACGGTGCTGCACCCTTCAGTTTTTGCCATGCTGTGCTGTCAGCATTTGTTTAGTAACAAACTGGTTGCAGGGCCAACTCTCACAAGTATCACAGGATGACCAGCTGCTTGATTCTCTTGTGAAGTATATGCAGGAATCTGAGATTTAGGCCAGGCTGGGCATTCCCTGAGCTGTGTGAGTTTGCAGTGTCCCTTCTCTTAAGCTCTGTCATGTCAGTTCCATTTTCTTTTGCCCTTTTTTTTACCCCAAAGAGCTGGTAGGTTCATGGCTGCGATTGGGCATGTGCTGCTGTGCTCTCAGGCTGCTGAGAGACTGTGTGGTGTTTTACACTAAGATGGTTCTGACTGTTAATAGGAACCTTAGAGCCCTGGTAATGTAAGTATTTTTAATTAGTCTTTGCAGCCTTTGCTACTTCACATTTTCTTTTACTTGACTGTGAATTGGGGGTGGAAAAAAAAGCAAGCAGGTTAAGTGGCAGATGTAGGATGCAGCTCTGAGAGCTGCTGGGTGCCGAGCAGTAAGTGCTGAACGCCCTGACCTCTCATGGAAAGCAGTGGGAGTTGAGGCAGATAAGGATCTCGCCAGAAGAGGTCCTTGGAGCGCTTAACAGAAGGATTTTTCTAATACTTAAGTACCAAACATAGATATCAACGCCTGTTTTGGATTGTTTGGAAGGTTGTCCAGCTATCTTTTGTTTTATAAGTTTTGTTAACGGAAAACATAGAAATGGATATTTTTTTCCTTTAAAGAATGAACTTTAGTGCCTATAATTGCTGCAGGTTGGCTCTGTAAGTTTGAAGGTACAGAAGTAAAACAATTTTTACAAATGGAAGTAACATTTACTTAGTATATTTCAAAAAACTTTTTTTTGTGTGTGTGTATATAGTGTGTCTGATGTAATTTTTAATGAACTGGGCAATTTTATATTTTACAAATCGCAAACTGCAGCGAAGTAACAGTAGCAAAGCACTACACTGAAACTCTGAACTAAAATTGTGAAGATAAATATGACTTGGGCTTTCCTTAGTTCTGATTGCTTACAGCAGCATAGAAATGTATGTATATAATATTGTGGCTAAGTGTAATAAACTCAGTGTTTAATGATGGTTCTGTAATTCATAACAAAGCTGTACAATTTGTTTGTGCAAGCAACGCAAGGCTCCAAAACATGTATCAGCATTAGTAAATACTGTAGATTTTTATATATAAAATATATGCACACTATTTTCTTATGTCATCTGCAACAGTTTTATAACTGTGTATCCTATTTTGATGTGACTGTATTTTTAACAAGTTAAAATAATAATAATTAAGCTTATGTTGCTTTGTCTTTATTTTTTAATTTTCACAGTAACTTAAAACTGGACCTTTGCTCTTCGTGGAACAAAAAATTGCTTTTCTTAAGTGAATCATGCATAGGTATATTTGATGCATGTCCTATTTAATTTGCACTTGTTTATGTTTAGACTAAGCAATATGGATGCAATCTATATGGTGCTTTTGCATTATCCTAGAAGCACCAAGATTATTGATTACAGTTTACTACACTGCTAAACCTTAACTTATCATTTGTGAAAAGTAAGAGTATAAACTGTGATCATAATGTTCTGGTTTTGTTCTGATACTTTCACCCGATACCAATTCAAGAGAGGAGAATTATTGGCATGAGAGAGTCTTGCAAAGTCACATTGAGCAAAGTGCAAAATAACAATCTGACTGTGGCTGCTGTGTGTCTCTCACATGTTTAGAGGATAGGATAGAGCTTAAAAAAAAAAAAAAAAGCAAGCCTTGTATTATTGTTCATAATGCAAAATATACTTTTATCTTCATTTAACTGGACGAACCAAACTAAAGGTGCTGCCAGACTAAAATCTGTCATTCATGCCAGTAACAAAAAGCCCCTCAATGCAGAGTGAAGTGAGACACAGCTGTGGCAATATCTTGCTGGCAGAGGGAATCACCTCAGCATAATGGTTTAGATACCCTCATAAGAGCTTCTCTGTCACTGTTTTCTTTGATCTGTAAACAGCCAAGCAGTATCAACATAAAATACTTAAGATGTTTTCTTCCCATGGTTTCATAGTTTTCCAAAACTTGCCTGCCTCAAGCTGTATGAACTGTAGGGGTTTTGTCCAAGGTGGTTGTTGTGTCTGTCCTCGTGGTTAGTGAGACA